AAAAGTATTCTTTGTGATGGAAAAGTTGGTTAGGCTAAGAATCCATTTTGTATTCATGTTCAAGACTCCATTTTATTTAGCATCTTTTCAACAAAAGTCTGTGGGTTTTTTTTTGTTTCTACACAAGTTCACAGGTTTTGCAGAAACTTCCTCCTTTTTTTAATACTCTAGCTTTATGAGCCAATGATAAATTGACCAATACTCCCAAATATGGTATAGTTTCAGACAACAGACCAAGTCAGCCTACCACAAAGGACCACTAGTTCCTTAAAATGATTGTTTCAATTTGACCATACTTTAAAATAGTTACTTAAATAAGGCATTTTTGGGAGTGACTTTGCAGTTTTAGACAGTTAACCATCTCATTGCTGTGATAAAATAATCTCATTAATTATGCTAATGTGGCTTTGCCTAAAAATTAATGTAACCTGTTGTGACGTAGCAGAATGTTTGTCTTGACATTCTGCCCGATACGTATTGAATAAATGTTACTTACGACGAGCACATATATATCTGTTCATGGTAATGTGAGGTCTGGTATTTCTGCCGGGACATCTTTGAAAATCAACTTGCCAGATTAAATTTTTTTTTTAATCTATTCATGTTCCCGTCTCAAACTGGCATAAGTACCTGAATCTAATTTGGAATTGGGTGAAGAGCCTTCTTTAGGTGGCAAGTAGGGGGGTTTGCCCATTTCATTACCCCACCTTTCCCTGCCCTTAACCCAGCCCCTTTGCTCCCATTTGTCTTCAGAAGAAAATGTTTATTTTATTGGGGGTAAGTGGTGGTCTCACGGTTACCCCTAAGAGAGGGTTACGAAAAAATGGGAAAGTGGCTGTTGGCTGTACAGGACAATGGCCTTTTTAGGACCCAGCAGAGGAGCATTGCCTCTTTAGGGGCTGCTGTTTTTTGTGCTGACCTCCCAAGTGGGGGACACATTACTCTATGCATCTTGGCAGGGAGGGGGGTTCTGCTTTCAGCAGTAAATTCTGTCAGGCACTGGCAAAAATGGCAGTGCTGCAGCATACAAGTTGCTGGCTTTATTTCCCATCTGTGCACCTGCACACTGCCTCTCTGAAATCAGCTAAACAAGACTTCACAGCAAGCTACTCTAACTGGGAGACCAGAACTGCGCTCACCCTCTGGACAGTAAGTATCCCTCTGTTAGGAAGTCGTAACCTAACATTGTTAAAGCTCAGTTGGCATTGTGGGGATTCAGAGAGGGGGGAGTCAGGCCTTCAAAGCTGCCCCCATAGGCGAGGGATCTCTTTTATTTTACTCAATGCCCGCAACCTGACACTAATGGTATCAATCACATCCTTTGGTTCCTCACTCTCAAGGACTTGGACTTTCTGGATCCATTTTGGAAGGTTGAGTTGCTGGTAGAACATAATTCTTATAGCCA